TTTTTCCGTGCATGTGTCACTCTTTTTGTACGTTTTTGTATAATTGGTTAAAGATGGGATGTGATTTCTTTAAATGTTAATAAAGATTTTGAGGTTATGAAGGTATTTATTAATAAATTATTTCTGTTTTATCCTTTTTGGTTTAAAAAGATAATTCATTATATTTATGAAAACATTAGGATGAAGCTTTCGAACTTTGGAATGAATGGGCCAAAATTTACGAACCAGATTCTGTTTCTGCCAAATTAATTACTGAAATTGCTGAAAATTGGTATCTGATTAACATTGTACATAATGATTTCCATGATAATAATGGCATTTTTCGTATTTTTGAACCGGGATTCGCCTCAGAGATAGTGGAGGCAGATCGATGAAATACACTAATTTTTGAGCATGTCTGGATCGGGATATTTGTATTTTAATAATAAATATAATAAAATAATAGATAAATATAGAAATTGCTAATAAAAATGATTTTTTTTTTTTTTTTAAAAAAAAAAAAATAAATTAATATATACTACCTTTTGATATACAAAACCATTTTTAGGACCCCAACCGAAAACTGGATGATCACTGCGAGCTCCGTTTACAGCAGGTTGTGAATTAATAGACAAATATCCCAATGAATTGATATAGGCTAATTGGTCCTTAATTATATCAGTTTCACGGGCAAGAGATTGGTCGGACCAAGGCAAGGAAACCAGATCACCATGACAATATTGCACAAATATGTTGTAAATATCATTAAGTGAACTAGGATATCCCCATAATTCAACAGCATTTTGTTTCTATTCAAATGAAGAATTCTTTTAGTGAATGCCTAAGAATATTAATTTTTAATGAATTTATGATATGTACCGATTGTTTGAGAGATACACCATATCCATCGAGTTCGCCGAAAGCTAATTTATTTATAAAAAAATAATAACAATTATATGTTGATTTAATTAATAATAATAATAATAATCAATTATAATTAATAATAATAATAATAATAATCAATTATATGTTGATTTAATAAATTTAAAAGTACCCGGCGATTTCGAATCGCCCCATCTGCCATTAGGGAATTCGTCCCATGCTTCCGTACGAGTAACATAACTTTTAATACGATTTCTCCAAAATATGGGACGTACATTTTCCATTTTACGTTTAGCTGAAAGAGACTTAACATTGAAAAGGAAATGAATATATATATATATATATTTAAATATATTTGTAATTGAATTTGAATATAATATTTGATATAATTATTACCGGGCACCAAGGCAATGGTTTTACTTTTTCTACAGGTGCTACAAACTGTAAGGCTTCTAAAATTAACCGTGTAGACCTTTCCAAATTCATAGTGTAGAAATGGAAACCATTTATTCCATTTTCATACATCTTCTTAATCATGTCAACGGCTAACTTTATTCCATACTCTTTTACAGCAGCATCATCATGTTTAATAGGTTCTAATTCTTCAATAACAAATTGAGGAACAATAGTCTTCGATAGACTTATAATTCTGTTGAATCCATTATAATTTTGAATTGGCAAAAGTCCAGGAATGATGGGGCATGTAATACCTATTGCACGGCATTTTTTAACCCAATTTAAAAATAAATCCACGTCATAAAATACTTGTGTTATAATAAAATCGGCACCAGCATCAACTTTTTCTTTGAGACGTCGTAGATCATCATCTTTGTCAGGATTATCTATATGACCTTCACAATAACCAGCCACACATATTCCAAAATAGTCACCATATTGAGAACGGATATAACGGACAAGGTCAATAGCATAAGAAAAACCATTTTCACAAGCTTCCCATTGAATTTGACCTCGGGGTGGATCACCACGAAGAGCAAGAATATTTTGACAACCACATTCTTTAGCATCCTATATTATTATTATTTTTTTTTAATTGATAAAAATTAAGTTAAAATATATATAATTACACTACTCGAGCAGTAAGTGTAACATATAAGAGATAATGTAGATACTTTAAGGGCTTTATCAATCTTTTCTTTGGGCATGTTTGTACAAGTAAGGTGCATAACGGTTTCTAAGCCATATACTGATTGAGCAGTAGATACGATTTCGCTTGTCAACCGTGAAGAAGTTCCACCAGCATTCCACGTAATGTCAATGAATTCCGGGCCAAAGCGATACATTCGCTCCATACGATCGTAAAGATTTTGAACACCCTAAAATGAAATTAATCAAATTTAAAATATCGGCATAAAGACTTATTATTTTGTAAGTGGAAAAAGAAAACTGACGTTTTACCTGTTGTGTTTTTGGGGGAAAATACTCGAAAGACCAATAAGGTCTACCTTCTTCCTGAGCTTTTTGAATTTTAATAATTACTTTCATGTTTTTTCTTTTTTTTTTTTTTATAAAGTAAAGCGGAATTTCTCGAAAATGGGTTATATGTAGTGTTTAAAATTCAAATTTGATTTTATGTTCATACAAGTATATTGAGAGCTTTTAATGTTCTCAAAAAAATTTTAATGTTCTCTACGTAAAAAAGTTAAAAAATTTTTAATATCAAAAGAATTTATCAAATGTTCTCAAATAGAGAACATTAATAATAAAGTTCTTAAAAATTGATTAATGTTCTCTGAGAAACTGAGAACATCGAATTTTAAACACTGGTT